TTAGCGAAATTCCTTCTGAATTTAGCGACTTTTTAGCTACTTTTGTAGGTGTATCTAGAGACATTTGAAAGTGAGAGTAGGTGTCCATGGATATGCTGCTGTTTTAACAATAATAGCGCGAACTGGAATTCTCCTTCCTTTTAAATTACAAACATATGCTATTGTGGTCGTTAATAACAGTTTTCTTCCTGTCATTAGGCAACTTGATGGATTTTTATGAGAGCCATCTGCATTCATGTTTATAATTGCATCACTGGAAATTTCTGTTTTTGGTTTGTCTAACTGTTGATGTGTAAGGATTATGTTAATTTTATTAACAGTTAAATTTTAAGTCCTTTCCTGTCAAATTCTTAACTTCAACTTACTACTTCCGGCCAGAACGTAGTTTTGGAATCTTGCTGAATATTTAATAAGGAGGAGCGGTATTTAAACCGCGAAGTTACTTACTGAGTCAGACAGAATCAGAGTTTCTGATTTAAGCGCGTTTGCCTTTTTGGCCACCCTCTCTCTCAAAGCTGTTATTACGCTCGCCCGTAGTCAGGCCCTTGCTAAGCTTCGTAGTCAAATAAGTTAAGGGGCCAACTTGATTTCAACCTGGATAGCTTCGGCTATACTTCTTTAGTTAATCTTAGTTTAATTCTTAGTCTTTTAAGTTCAAGTCCAAGTGCGGGCTTTGCTTGTACACTCCCAGGCGGAGTTTTGTTAAATCTTATTGGAATAATAAAGGGTTAGGTACCCTTCTATATTGCTGTTTCTTGTCACCGAACTCATGCAATTATTCGCTTATCAGTTCTTAGATTCTTTCTTCACTTCCAACATTAACTTAGAATTCCAAAGTGAGGAACTCTACAGATGGATGGCCTCATTGCTGAGTAAGCGATGATTATTATGTTTACAATAATTAAAAATTAGCGGCATAACACTTTCAGTTTATTGATATTGCTTAGCGTTTGCCGGTTTTATTTTTGGTTTTCGTGAAGTTCCTTTTCAGCGATATGGAAATGTGAAGTTTTCTGTACAAGAAGGTAAGATTTTTGTACTTTTCATATAATTTTTCAATGTGAATGAAATAAGTGTATGAATGAAACGCTAATAGTGTTTTAATTATTACTCATAATCAGGGAGTAGTCTTAATTTCCATAAAATCATGCTACTGAACATCAAATGTTTCGAAAATTATATCAACAAAGGAAAATTAAAATTATATGTATTGGAAAATTGAATATTGTTTCTGCGTATTAATACGAGATGTTGTTAAACATTGCATAATATAAAAACAATTTAATCAATATTGTAAATTCCTCAGATTTAAGGTCTGAAATGGATATTTTTCAGGTAAGTTTTGTACAGAAGTTAAATCATAGTTCTTTTGCTTCATTCATGCAGATCGCAGTGTGATATATTTGCAAGTATAATCAGCAAATGAATTATATTAATCATTGATAAAATTTGAGCAGTGGTACATTTAATGCTGATATTAGCAATATCAATTATTCAATTTTATAAATTTCATTGATCATGTTATGAATACTATTGGTATTTATAACATGATATAATGTGCATATTACGTGTAAGTTTATTTTCCGTCTCAAAAGAAAAATTGAAAATATCTAGTTCAAACAATTCGTAAGACTCTTATTAAATATGATTAGTCAAATTTCGAGAAAACTGTAATTAAAAGAAGGAAATTTACTTGCGTTCCGAAAGCTCGCCAATTCACATCTGCTATTAGGGGTTCAAGCTTTTCCCATGTTTACTTGAACATATTACAGTCTTACAAATACAGGTAACTATTTTATGTATTCCAATACACATTCTGTTTAGCAGGGGAGAAGCTTTCATTTTTGTTTCTCGTGTCTATTGACATTTTGAGACTTGACTGTGCTTTTTGATTGAAATAAATTGAAAAGACACTGTTTTATTTATACGGTATTCATATGATTTTTTTAACAGCAGTATGTAAAATCATTACAAGCAATAAAAAATATCCATTTGTGGAGCCAGCAGACTGATCAAGACGTCGGAAGACAGCTCTTGATCAGAGATCAGTTGTCTTGATCTTGTTTTATGAAGGTTTGTTTGTATAATTAATCAATTGATTTACTATTTCATTTCTTTTATAAAGTTATAGAAATTTGTTCATTTACTTATTTTACCGAATTTTACTTTTACCTATTCTGTGTCGCTCGTAAGTGGAAAGCTTTAAACCTATGTTATAGTCAGGGCTTAATTTCTAAAATTAGAAGTGAAGAAATCAAATTATTTTTTCACCAGCAAAATAATCCGAAATTTCTTGAACTCTTGTCCGACGATGAGTGAGTAGTCAAGCTTGCATATCTGGAAGATATTTTATCTGATTTAAATGAACTAAACATATCCTTGCATGAACAGCTTAAAGACCTGTATATAGTACGAGGTAAAATAGATGCTTAAAAAAATCACTGCTTGCAAACGCTATTGGCAAAAGGAGATATACAAATGTTTATAAATTTTTATGAATATATGGCAGGGAAGGATCTCAGCCAGCAAGTGGTATTCATAATTCAGCAGCACTTGCAGTCACTGACAGAATTTTTTTGTTTTTTTTTATCCAAAAGAGGTAGAGCCTAGGCCTGGAAATACGTGAATAATAGATCCATTTTCAGCAATTAGCATCTGTAACGGCAATTAAAACTCAGTACCGATCTCGGCTTGAAATAAAAGCGGCTCTCCGTTTTTCGGTGACGTCACTAGAACCCAAAATCTACAAACTGATTTCAAACAGGAATAAATAGCACACTAAAATATGTAATAATGTTAAATTTTTCACTTTTTAAAAATAATTACTCGATAACCTTATAAAATAAACTAATGCTGATTATTATTGTATGAATGTATTAACATTTTTTAAAAAATTCATATTAGTGGTCCGCCAAATATAAAATTGTATATGTAGTGGTCCGTGAAGTTCTAAGGGTTGATGACCGCTGATCTACAGTATATAGCTTTCTCCGTGCAGTCGCTCTTAACTTGGAGGAGAATAAAAGTAGTTAAAAATATTCCTCCCACAGCTTTTGAAGCATAGTGATGAGCACATCCAACTAGTAATTCGAAAATTAGAGTTGCAAAAGCATAGAAGATTTCTCAAGATTTCTTGTTTCCGAGAAACCTAATGATGTTAAAAATATCAATCACATTGATCTGTAAACTTCGACTGCGATTTCTTGCATGTGACGATATCTCAAAAACGCTGACTTAGGCACGTATTCATTGACAGCCCTCATCCCCACAAGTAGAGGAAAGTATTCAATTAATTTTCCTATTATTGTTTTAAAGAATTCTTATTCATTTCCTTGTTGGGTCACCAGTTAATATCTTAACATTATCATTCATTTTTTACAGCACGAGGACTCTGTTTTATAGTAGCTTTGCAGTTTAATAATAGTTCTTTGGTTGAAAAGAAACTCTTTGGTTTTCATTTTATCATTCTATGAAAAGAAAATCAAAAGCTTTCTTATAGTGTTCGTTTCTAGCCAGTGTACCACAAAGGTCTCTTTTCGAGCCATGTTATTTAACATTTATGTGAACGACATTCCACAGACATCAAGCACTGCACTCATCCCTCAATCATCGGCAATGTATGCCGATAATTCAGCGGTCCTTGGATCAAATGCATATCTGACGCCAGTCATACAACAATTATAAAATCATAAACACGTACACGTAAACTTGGCTAATTAGGTGGAAAATAAAAATAAATATTGAAAAGTTAATGGCACTCCTATTCAGACGCAGAACAAAGATAAACTGGAACCCAAAGTTTTATGGAAATATTCCCCTCTGGGCTAAGCAAGTTCCTTAATCTCTGGGTGATCCTCACTAACACTCACACATGGACCCCACACATTACATTTATTATTCAGGAGTTCCGAGCGTGTAAAACTCCCCCCCCCCGAATGGTCGAAATAGTATTCTTTCTATAGACAACAAACTACTCAAAGCCATCTTGCACACCATGCTATGTTATGGCTGCCTGGATGTAGTCAAGCTGTACTAATCGAAAGCTATTACAGACTGCACTAAATATTGTTCTTTGATAAATATGCAACGTACCTTGGTATATTCGTAACAATTAAATATCGATACATGAAAAATTTAGAGTTGCACTGCTTAGAAATATACACCATATCAAAAAATCGCCTGAAAAAATCTTCTGTAATTAATAATGAATGTATTAGCAATGATGTATATGATGCTCGTAATGGGAGATCCTTAATGTAAACATGATTTAAAAGCAACAATTCTTAGCTGTTTTGCTTGCTTTTACTACTCCTGTCTACATCAATATGTAAATACTGGGAAAGTTCTAAATTTTTTTGGGGGGTGGGGCAATCGACATTTTTTGAACTGGTACTATTCGGAAAAAAAGTGTTCGACAGGGATTGTGCCCCGTGCTCAGGCACTCTGGTGACTGCCCCATTCCTGTATTAGCTTCGTAATGAAGACAGTTTTGAAGTAGATAGATAAAACTGACAATTATTATTTTTTTATACTATAAAAATAAATTCAAGCAATGGTCAAATAAGTACAATCTCTTTATTATTCACATATCACTGAAGACGAAAGAGCAAGTAAATACAGAATAGGTATCAGTTTATAGATAATAAGATAAACTAAAACCATTTTAAGTTAGACTATAAGGTATTTCTCCCACTTCCCTAGCGTGCCTTCGAGGTGTAACGGTATTACAGAGGTCCGTGGTTCGATTCCCGGCGAAGGCGTTTGCTAATTTTTCATCTCTCTGGCTTAAAAAAAAAAAAAAAAAAAAAAAAAAAAAAAAAAAAAAAAAAAAACACCTAATGTATTACAAGTGGCGCCTGAACTAAAAGGGTTGTGGATGATGATTCTCCGCACCCAGGATTTGGCGACTAGGTCCCCTAAAACTCTAGTCACCCTTCAAGAAGGGGAGTATATAATGAATTTCTCTCACTTCCCTAGCGTACCTTCGTGGTGTAACGGTAGCACGCTGGGCCGGTATTCCAGAGGTCCGTGGTTCGATTCCCGGCGAAGGCGTTTGCTAATTTTTCATCTCTCTGGCTTCCAAAATTCTCTGGCTATCCTAATGTCTCTACAAGACTAGGAAGAATTATTTTACTAAAGGTCTTTTCAACCCTTGGTTATTCAGAGACTTCTTCTCAGGTAGTATTATCGTACTGATACTACTAATTGGGAAAGAAATGGTTTGTACTGTTCTGTTATCGGGACCGGGTCCAGAAATATACGTATGTATGCATGTATGAATGAATGGATGGATGTGTTCATATATGTATGCATATTTGTACATACATATGTGTCTGTGTGTGTATACATACATATATGCACATACATCCATATACATGTGCAAACATACACACATTTCTGAATCTGGTCCTGATAACAGAAGAATACTACATAGTGACTATGTTGCAATTGGATAAAAACATAAAATATTTATTCGTAAGTATACTATTTTGTATATATATTTAACGTTATCCTTGATATTTGATATCATTAGTTACATCAAAAAGAGAGATGCCTCTAATTAAATATTAAATCATGTCGCTGGCTTTAGAACGTCAAAAGAAAAATTTCTTAAGCGTTGAAAAAAATTTTAAATAATAACTGCTAAGTGCATTGTATTATACGCGTATTATACGTGAAGCCTCAGCAGTTTTGTTTAAAATGTATGTCTTTATGAGTACATTTAAGATGCAAAAAAAGAACTTTGATATGAATAAAGACAGAATGCTACTACATAATCAATATGTAAACATATTTCAACTCCTGGTATGTTTATTTGAAGTTTTGTATTTGCTAAAAGAAAAAAAAAAAAAATGAAATAGCAAAAGATTTTATGAAATCATGATTATTTTTTTATATTTTCTATCATAAACAATTCAGTTTTCAATGAATAAATACAGTCCATTTTCGTTTCTGATATTCATATCTGTTTCAGTCAATTTCATAATACACTCAGCCATAAACATCAAAATATGACCATGGTTATTAAACTTCTTATACTTTTAACTCGTGAGGCGTGTCGTTCTTGAAGCATTTGATGAAGGCCCATAGGAAACCTGTTAGAGAAAATAGTTTGATAGTGTATTGTTGTTAGATTCTGCATTAAAGAATCACAGATCACAAAATGTATGGAAACAATGTAACATATGTAAAGATATTAAAAATAAATTCTTTTACCAAGAATTAATATTTTTAAACTTAATTATCTTTAATTAAGTTACCAAGAATTAATATTTTTATCTGGAAACATATCATTCCCCGTATAACTATACATTTTCAAAATCTTCAGACACCTTATATACGTAACTTAAACCGTTTTTTATCATCAGTTTTGTACGGAAATTGAGCTTATCCCGTTACTTTGAGTTTATTTTCTTACACTATTATTTTCCTTTAGAATAAACCCATTCAATTTCCATAATCGGTCCTTCCAAAAGCTTTTGAATCAGTGTTAGAATTTTGCCTCCCTTATTTTCGCCCTGTCCATAGTATCTTATCAGTTTCAGATAATACCATTTTAAAGAAAGAAATCTAGTTATGGCTTTTACTGTTGTTCCGTCTTGGTATTCTTTAGCATCGACAACCAGATTATTCCATTTCTTACAACTTAACTGAAATTTTACAAATCATTTTAGAAATAGACTTGCGGTGCACACACATGTGGCATTCAACAAGAATTCTGATGATTTGTTTCTTCGTTTAGATAGTAAACCTGGCAAAGAAATATTCATTCAATAATACAGGGTGAGCACAAAAATGGTCCCTGATTTAAGGTGTCATAAAATTAAATTACTTGAATGTATATCCACGACTCAGTTGACTCAAAGAATTTTCATTCCTTTCCTTTACAGAATCGCTAGGTAGAATTTCAAATACTAGAGGGCAGTGACGTCGAAAATGGGGTTCACCCTAAAATAGTTGAGTGTTACAAGTGCCGAAAACAAGCAGTGTTGTAAGAGTGCAGCCTGAGTTCAAACGAAACTTTGATGTTGATCCGTCTACACACAAATGCATTTTAAAGTAGCATAAAACATTTCGTGAGGGAATGTGCATTTGCTATAAAAGAAAGGGACGTTGTGGCAGACCTTTCATCTCGGAGAAAACTGTGAAGCGCGTGAGAGAAGCTTTTGTATGCAGTCCGAAGAAGTCACCACGCAAAGCTAGCAGATATTTGTAGGTGCCACAAACTACATTAAGCAAGATCTTACGCAAGCGTATGGAGTTTCACCTGTACCGGGTACAGTTGGATCAGAAGTCACTTACCAAAAGGTAAAGTGACATGAGCTTTGCGGCACTATCCAAACTTTAATAGAGGGCGATGAAACCCTTCTCACGAAGATAATTTTCAGCGATGACGCGACCTTCCGTTTAAGTCGGCGTCATCGCTGCGATGCACAATGTTAGGATCTAAGGAATCAAACATCCGCATGCCACTCTAAATATGGAATGTGACTCTTCTGAAATAAATGTGTTTTGTGCTGTATCACAGCGTCGGGTGTATGGTCCATTCATTTTTTCAGGAATAAACAATTGCAGGTAAAAGTTACTTACCATTGCTACGCGGCTGGTTGATTCTCAGCTTACTGCAGAAAGAGATGACTATATTCTACAACTTAACGGAGCGTTGCCACGCTTGCATCATGCTGCACGCAAGTTTCTAAACGAGAATCTTCCAAACCAATGCATAAGCCACTCTAAACTCAATGACCAATTTGTATGCAAGTGGCCCCCCAAGATCACCGGATCTAACTGTTTGTGACTTTTATCTGTGGGGAGTTTGTGATGGACCAAGTACATGTACCTCCACTACTCGCAACTCTGAATGATCGTCAAGAACGCATCAGTGCTGCTATCAATTCCATTACACCGGATCTGCTTCAATACGTATGGTTGGAGTTGGATTACTGAACAGATATTTCTCACATAACAGATGGAAAGCACGTCTAGTCTCTGATTCGAATCCATACCACCAGAAAGTTCAGAAGTTTATGTAACGATGTTAAGAATCTGGCAAGGTAGTCCTTTCGGTATTAAAGTTATACTTTTTCGAAACAGGAGTGTTTTTGTGCTTACTCTGTATATAGGATAGAACTTTAATAGTTGAATTGCGTAAATAGTATACAAGTTATTGCATGAATTTTCAATAACCCTTACATTATTTTTAGAATCTGAAATTTGGCAAATGTGTCTGGGCGTATATTTGTCCCCTTTCTCTTTTATAAGATCTGCAAAAGGTATAGGCAACCGTTGTTCACAAAATATCTAAATTTAATATAGTAAATTTGCATTCAGAAAGTAGTTCACATTTAAATGTGTATGATGAAATGAGAACTAACGTAAATAGCGACATAATGCAAAGTTATGGTTCGAGATAAAATGCAAATAACACAAAATGAAACATCTGATATTCTTTTTGGCAGTGATTTATTCATTTGAATATGGTATTAATTGTATTAAAATGGCAGAGAAAGAGAAAGAATGTTACCATTTCTGTGGGAGTAACGTGATCTGCATTTGGTGGCACTCCAAATACTGCAGTATAATTTGGCGTCGGATTTGGTGATGTAAGAGCATATGGATGATGAGAAAATTTATCGATAGAACTGTCTCCTAGTGGTGTTGTGCCATTACTTTGCAGCATCACACCTATCTATATCAAGAATCAGTAAACAAGATTTTTAATATTTAATAAATACCATCATTGGAGCAAAATATGTAAAAAATAGATTGGAAGAAAAACAAGAAAACTTTTTTAGAGCTTTACCGTTAGCTTTATAAAATTTCTTATCTTGAAATGTTCCAATAGAATATTTCATGACTTCCTTTCATTTTGAATATTTTAATAAATTAAAAATTTTTAAAAAATTGACTAATTTTGCTTAAACCTTCAGTTGGAATGAATTCTTTAATCAATAATGCAATATTCAAGAATTTATAGACTTGTATATATAGCAAAAGTTACTGTCGCTGTAAATTTTTCCCGTTAAATCCTATGTAATATATCTGACTTCGAATCTAAAATTTTCTGAAGAACACAAAAACCTTCTCTAAAACTTAAAGGTTTTATTTAACTGGAACTTCAAAATGATGAAAAATTTAACATCATAAATGAAAACTTAACATCTTAGGTGGAAACATTCAAAGTGCTTTAAACTATCAGCTATGCCGGCACGGTGAAGAACACTTTCTTTAAAAAGACAAAATCCATCTAGCCCTTTCGGCATATATCTCCATTCGATGGATTCAGACTTCAGCTCCTACGTGTTTTGGACTGGAACTACGTGCTAGTCCAGCTCCTACGTGCCGGACTGGAACTGGAACAGGACTGGATCAGGACCGGAAGAGGACTGGAACCGGAACAAGCCGGGAACCGGAAGAGGACTGGAACTGGAACAAGACGGGAACGGGAACCGGAACAGGACGGGAACCGGAACAGGACTGGAACCGGAACAGGACTGGAACCGGAACAGGACGGAAACCGGAACCTATCATCCCCTGGCTTCTCTCCCGAGCAGGTCTACTCTGGCTCGAACTGAAAATGAACTGCACCGCTACCAAGAAAAGCACCTCCTTTTATTGACGGCGGTTGCCGTTACTACAGGCGATTATGCAAATATTTAACATCCTTCCACCTAAGGGAAAAAAAAGTGAACTTTCACAACAAAGTAAAACAATGCTAAAGAGCCTTAATATGCCAGTCTGTCCGGCGGAGTTACAGTTCTACCAGATCGTGTTACAGGTCTCACAGATTTATCATCTACACCGAGTTTAAGTTCAGACAATGAATTTTGTTTTTCATTCTGCAACTTCACGGGTACATCATTTTGCGTTACATCTAAAGGATACAGAGTTCGAACTGCTCTAAGCAAAATTCCATTTCGGGTCTTTACTCTTGCAAGCCGATTTATTCCATCAGGTCCTGGAAGTAGTTCTATGACACGACCAAGTTGCCAAAAAAGTCTTTTGTCACTACTACCGATCAAAACAATATCATCCAATTTAATAGTAACTTTCCTTTCAGCTCTTTTATGCGAAACCTTGAGAATTCCCAAATATTCTTTACGAAATCTATTTTTAAATGCTTCTCGTACAGTTTGAATATACTGAAATCTTCTTTGTAAATTACTTGATTTAATACCGTATTTTATATCCCGCAAACTACTAGTTCTAATTTCTTTTAAAAAGTCGGCAGGAGTTAAAGCTTTAAATTCAGGATCGGAAGGAATTACTGTCAACGGTCGGTCATTAAGAATCGCTTCACAGTCACACAGTATCGTGTACATTTCTTCATAATTTAAACAAGCATGTTTAAGAACTTTTTTAAGGACTTGCTTCATCATTCCGATCAGACGTTCCCACCAACCACCCCACCATGGAGCACCAGGGGGAATAAATTTCCATGTTATCCGCTCATTGGCTGCCTGCCGATTAATTTGTTCAAAATCTATTAATTTGAATGCATTTGAAGCTCCTACAAAATTAGTTCCATTATCACTGTACACAGTTGTGGGTTTACCTCTTCGCGACACGAACCGATGAAAAGCCTGAAGAAACACTTCTGTAGATAGAGAAGTCAGCAACTCCAAATGGACCGCTCTATAAACGGCGCATGTAAAAACACAAATCCATGCCTTTTCTTTGTTTCTCAACAATAAAGGACCACAAAGGTCTATACCCGTTACTTGAAATACTGCTGAATCATTTACTCGCTCTATTGGCGGTGGGGCTGATATATGTGGTCAACAGGTACAGCAGAATATCTCTTGCAAGTAATGCATTTACTCAAAACAGAACGCACAGTTCTTCTGCCAGATAACAACCAAAACCTTTCCCTTAAGGTATTCAGTATATATTGTACACCTGCATGTCCTTTCTTTTTATGTTCTTCCATAATTAAATTTCTAACTAACGGATGTTCTCCTGGTAATATTATAGGTGTTCTAAACTCTAACGTGTCATCTCTTCGAAACGCACCAGTTTTAATTCTTAGAATTCCCGCATCATAAAATGGACTAAGAGTTCGTAAGCGTGCGTCTTCTATATCCTGAAACGATTCCGATTGAATCAAGCGAATAACAACCTTTTCTGCAAAATCAATTTCATCAACAGTGAGTTCACCTTTCCTTTTTTTTCTTATTTCTGCAATTAAAGAAAAAATCGTTGAATCCAACCAACAACTCTAACTGTTTTTCGATAGCTAGAAAATCGCTCACTCAAACTAAACCTTTCAGTAGACACTAGAGATGAAACCACTGCCTTTTTTTTCTCGCTGGCTATTTCCGCTTCATCAGTTATGAATTCGGCACTCGGCCAATTTTCTTGGGATTTTAAAAGCCAGCTCGGACCCTCCCACCATTTTGACCGGGAGAGTTGGCGAACTGAACACCCTCTACTTGGAAGATCTGCAGGGTTAAGGTGACCAGGTATATGCCTCCAATCCTCCACACGTGTCAAAAGCCTTATTTCCTGTACTCTATTTTGTACAAATGTCCCCCATGGTTCTTCCCTTTTTATCCATGCAAGGACAGTAGTTGAATCTGTCCAGAAAAATGTACTTCTGGCCTCAAAGTCTTTTAGAACGTCTGCAGCAAGACGAGATGCAATAGTTGCTGCTAACAATTCTAATCTTACAATAGTCGTTTCCTTTTTACCACAAGGGGAAACTCTAGACCTAGCCTGAAAGCAACTGGACTTTAACTGATTCAGTTTCTTTTACACGAATGAAAACTACTGCCGCATACGCTGCTTGACTGGCGTCACAGAAAACATGTATTGAACACTATTTTGGCTGATATCGTATCCACCTTGGAATTTTAATGTTTTTCAAAAGAAAAATGTCTTTTACCCATTTCAAAAATTTATTTTTAATTTCAGTGTCAACTTCTTCGTCCCATTTTACTTTTGTTCGTCCCATTTTACTTCGTCTCATTTTACTTTTGTTTCCCATGTACGCTGTAATAACATCTTGGGTAATATAAGGACTGGACATGTTATACCGATGGGATCAAATACTTTATGGGCTATTGCCAAAATACTTCTTTTCGTGACTTTCTCGAAACAAAGATTTTGCAAATTAGCAACATTTATTTGAAGAGTATCGCCTTGTCTTTCCCATAACAAACCTAATACATTCGCAACAGTTTCTGTTTCTAAACTACAGTCGGTATATTCCCAACCCCGTAATTCAAATTTTCGTTCTGCCATAACATCTGAAGATACTTTCATGAAGCGCTGTAATTCATCTTCACTTCCGACACTTGTTACACAGTTATCAACATAGAAACTATTCATTAATTTAACAATAATGTCGGAAGGATATTTTACATCTGCATCATTTTTCTCTAAAATTGAATTTAAGTGATATTGAATAACAGCTCCAAGTAAAAATGGACTACTGGTTACACCAAATACGACTCGACAATGACGAAAATGCTTCAAGCCATCTTCACCCTTTATCCAAAGAAATCGGAGGAAGTTTCTGTCACTAGAATTCAGGCCAATTTGTAGAAAGGCCTTACGAATATCAGAAATCACACCCCTATTTTTTCTTGGCGAAATCTATTTAAGATTGTAGGAATAAATGCAATAAATAAGGTTTAATCCTTTTCAAGACAATCGTTGAGACTCGCAGAACCCTTTTAGACGAAGCGTCAAATACTGGCCGTAACTTCGTAATACTATGTTCCTTAACAACATGTCTATGTGGCAAATAATGATGGGGTAAATCTAATTCATTTACAGGTACTTCCTCTATTATGCACTCTTTGAGCCATTCTTGGAATACATTTTCATACTCTTGGCGAAGATTATCAAGTTCAAGTTGCCTAATCGTACCGTCAACCTTTTAAGTGATAACTCAAAATTATCCGACAGGGAAGGGTGCCCTTCCAACCAAGGCAAAGACACTACAAAGCGGTCATCTTCTATTTTTACAGTATCAAGAAAATGTTGCCTGGTAGCCTCATACAATTCCAATTTACTCTTTTGTTCGGATGGGTCCGTAATACCAAGCGAGTCGAGGGCCCATAAATCAGAAATACAAGCCTCTTTATTCAACATTGAAGTAACTAAGAATGTTGAACCTTCACTATTCAACTCCCCGGTTTTTCCCATAACCGTCCATCCTAACTTTGTCTCAATAGCTACAAGACCGTTTGAAATTTGTTTACGATTTCCCGTTAATAATCGTCCTGCAAAATCGGCTCCTATTAAAATTTCTATAGGTCCTTCTAAACGATCTGTTAAACTTATTCCACAGTCAGCAAGCTCTTTAAGCCATATTCCTTGTCCAATAGAAGGTATATTATTACAAATAACAGGCTGACTTAACGTATCAAAATTACAGCTGTACGAGCCAGACGTATTAGATAAATGAATTTTGTAAACTTTATGTTCACACAAACTGGTCGTTGTACCGCCAAATAATGCGTGGCTAAGGTATTCCTTTACCGTATACCTATAACCCATATCTTGAGCTGTGCTTTGCAGAATATACGACCTTTGAGAACCAGTATCAATTATAGCTCGAGCCGAACGAGATTTTTTATCTTCTTTAATTACTCTTATTGTTTGCAGCAAAACTTTAGGAGACCTTGAAGAAATGTTGGCGAGTGTTTCAGCCTGATTTGGAGGCTGTTCCGTTGCCCTTGTCTCACTCATTTGTGAATGGCCTTTACATAGAAAAATATGATGCCTTTTACCACATGTAAAACAAACTGTTTTTAATCTACACCTCCTGACAGAATGTCCAGATTTCAGACACAGGTAACAAGAGCGTGTCCTTTGGACCAAAACTTCTCTTTCCGACAACGATAAGTTACGCGCCTGAAAACATTCCGCAGAACCATGATTTATACTGGAACAAAATATGCAGCCTTTTCTAGCTTCATGAGAAGAAGTAAACAGTTCAGCTGCCGTAGGTTTTAAGTGAGGTTCTCTTATCTTTAAACCCGAATTTCCTTATTACCTTTCTTATTACCGTGAGCCAATCGATCGAAAACATTGAAAGATTTAGCTGCTAAAGAAATTCTTTCCTCACTTTCAACTTCACCGCGCAAGAAACATAAAAGGCGCTCAAGGTCAGATTCCCTTTCTCTTAACTCGGCGTTTTCGCCGGTTAAACTTTCTGATCCTTTACGCGAAAACCTAAGTCTCTCCCACGTTTTTAAAACTTCATTCGGCAATGCTGATTCTACCAATGGGTATAATATCGCGCAATATTTGCCTCTATTTATTCCCAATATCTCCAAGGCTCTTAGATTAGATTCAAGTTCATCGTATAGTTTCCGCAAAGAGTGTGTACTTTGTTTTTGAATAACAAGGGTTAACAAATCACGAATATAAATCTCCGTTAGTAATTCTTTGTTACCAAAACGCGTTTGCAATGCTTCAATTGCGCTCCTGTAACTATCGCCAGTTGGCGGAAAGCATTTAACTATTTCCTCTGCGGGAGAATTCTTCTCCATAGCCTGTGCCAAATAAGCAAATTTATCATTATTATCTAATGTAGGATCTTTATCAATCTTTTGGAATTGCCCCCAAAATCCTAGCCATTTCTTCACGTTACCATCAAAGATAGGCAATTTAATCTTCGGATAATGTTAATATTTTATTCTGAACAAAGGACGGATCAATTAAAGTTACATTCGGGGTACTAGAGGTGAGATCCTTTAGTTTACTTTCCATAAGTCTCCACCTATCAAAATATAATTCAGATTCATCTATTTCCTTAATAAGTAAAGTCTCATCTGTAATTTCTTTAAACATTAATTTTCGTATTTTCATTTCAGTATCAAACAAAACTTTTGCATTCTCGGCAATAACTTTTATTTTAATTAATTTTTCTTCCTGATTAAATTTAGTTTCTTCATTGTCAAATTCATTACACGCTTTACTAAATAGTCTTCTGTATTGAGTTCGTGCTAGGCTTCCATGATTCAAAATAAAAAAAGTCGCTTACCTTGCAGACAATGTCCTGTCGCTTGGCGCCAAATGTTTATTTTTCCCGTTAAATTCTATGTGATATATCTGACTTCGAATCTAAAATTTTTTGAAGAACACAAAACCTTGTCTAAAACTTAAAGGTTTTATTTAACTGGAACTTCAAAATGATGGAAAACTTAACATCATAAACGAAAACTTGGCATCTTAGGTGGAAACATTCAAAATGCTTTAAACTATCAGCTATGCCGGCACGGTGAAGAACACTTTCTTTAAAAAGACAAAATCCACCTAACCCTTTCGGCATATATCTCCATTCGCTTGGATTCAGACTTCAGCTCCTACGTGTTTTGGACTTAAAAGGCCCGACTGGAACCGGAACAGGACGGGAACCGGAACAAGACTGGAACCGGAACCTATCATCCCCTGGCTTCTCTCCCGGGCAGGTCTATTCTGGCTAGAACTGAAAATGAACTGCACCGCTACCAAGGAAAGCACCTGCTTTTATTGACGGCGGTTGCCGTTACTACAGGCGATTATGTAAATATTTAACAGTCACCTTTGGCTTTAAAATAATATTCCAGCACATATCTACAAAGTAAACTCAAGTAGTTAACTATGTAAGATTTTGATTTTCATTTTAACTAACAATTATTTGCTTCACTTTGAATTCGCCTTTAACACAGATCAACCATTTGCTGCAAACTGGTAGTCCGAACCTCAAGACAGGACTTTCTACCTCATTTCTCAAATACTATGATGAAATTGAAGAGAGTAGAGATGTTAAAATTCTTCAAATTGAAAATGGAACTCCATTCACAGCATAACCACATTGATTAATAAATAGTATATATGTACTCTCTAGGTAAAATATCTAGTTTAAAATCAACATGACAAACTTTTCTATAATAGAAAGGGGGAAATAAATAAAAATTAAAAAAGGACAAAGTAGATGTGTACATTAATTACCTAAATGCATCCAGAAATCATACATTTTAAATTTCACACCGCAGTTTATTTAATTATCAACTCAAACTAATTAATTTATCAACTAAATTGATATACGACTGAATTTAAAATATATTGTTAAGCTTTTTGTATTTATTTAGCTATTTTAGTAGAATTTGTAGTTAAAATTGTTTTATATTCCCGTGCAATGCAGCACGAGACTTATTTGAAGATAAAGCTACGTCGGAAAAATTAAAATACAAGAGCAGGCGCATTTAACATTTTAATAAATAGATATCTCGTAATTGTACTCTTTTGCTATCCAGAAAAATCGAGAAAATATCAGAATATTCTAGTGTTTGATTAAAAAGCTTATAAAAGCCTAAGGAAAACATCTCAATTCAGCTACTTACAAAGTTGTTTACTTAGTTCTTGTGATTGATTGTAGCGAATTCGCGGTGAGATCGGATTAGCTTTCTCTGAGTTTTTTAATTTGAGTTCTATTTATATTTCAGTAGTTTAAAACATAACTACTGTGAGATATTGCGATATTGTACGAATATCTGTGAGAGGAAATTTCAGCATTTTGTTTCATTTGTTGTGATAAGAATAAATTTTATTCACTTTTCATCGGACATCTGCATTCAATTCATTACGAACCCGTACGCACGCAACAATATTGCCCGTCTATTCTTTGAATAAAAAATGTTTTTTTCCTTACCTGTGAAGTTCGCACATGATATGGAAAGTTTTTATTTGCTTTCGATGGTCTAGTAAGAATCTGAAAAAATGAAACAAATAAAATTTAAATGCTAAACCAAATATTTTATTTTCTGACAGATGCCATTAATGATATTACTTTTTTAGATTTTACTTTAGATCACGCTGAAGAGTTTAAGAATAAAACTTACAAAAAATGTGAGATGTGCAATGATTGATATGAATAATTCTACGGTGTTGAGAAGCTTTTCTCTGACCCATTTTGGCACTATAAAAGTAGAGATTAATATAACGACAGGGGCAGAAAGAAACCTGAAATAAAATATTTAAGAACAAGTTAACGATGATCTAACCTCCGGTATATTACGTATATATATATAAAGTAAGAAATTTAGAACACATATATATATATTAGACTACTATTATAACTAGCATAAATGCTAATTGCAAACGCGTTTTATATTATAATGTAGTAATTTTTGTAATACAATACAAAGCCCAAGATTCAGATTCATCGGGACTTCGGCGATTCCGGATTATCAGTTTAAGTTTATTAAGATGACGTGTAGACACTGAAATATTGAAGTTTCACTGTGTATATCTTAGTCTTGTATAGAATATGAATGTGTCTTTTTCTTTACGGCCCTAGCTGGTTTTTAACCTCTCCTTTCCTTATAAACTTATTTGCAAATTTGCAGCTCCACGCGCAATTTTGACCGACTAGGTCTCCCGTTTTTGGGATTTACTACTTTTTTTACTTTTACAATTACATTTTTAGCAGCTTCACGCGCAAAAAGTTTCTTTGGTTTTACTAGAATTCTAGCAAATGGAAATTCTACAGCTTTAGCTGTGGGGACATTTTCACCAGTAATAATTCCGCATTAGGTTAGTCTTCCTATCAAAAAACACTGGAAAGCAGGCTAGCTCTCTCTTTATTTTCATGATTTGACATTGTTTTATATGTAATATCAGGAATTAGGAAGTTCAAATGTTCTTTACGGGCCTAGCTGGTTTTTAACCTCTCCTTTTCTTATAAGTTTTATATATCTTGTATACAGTTACTATTTATATCAGATAGAAGAATGCTAACACACGCAACTGGTGCGGCCGCAATTGAGTGTCAGGACTTAGGGATTGACAAAGTTTTAGAGTTTAGAAGAGACAAAGCAACAAAAACTAGGGTTGGTTGAATTTATAGAACTTAGAAGAGTCACTAGACTTAGAACTTAGAAGTAGTAGAATTAAAGGCGAAATTTTTAGAATTTAGGGAGCAGTACAGAATTTAAGGGGTTCAGGAATTTTAGACTTGAGTAAAATTTAAGACCCTCAGAGATTGCACAAGGCAAAATGAGTACCGCCACCTCCCCTCCCGCAGCTGCTCCATGGAGGTAGGAAGTAAGCCATGAGCCGCGCAATAGTCCAAACATGGAGGTAGGAAGTAAGAAGGAGTCGCCCTAAACAAGTTTCTCCGTACCCTGCTCTGAAGCACCGGCGATCCCTACGTGGTGACCAAAACATTGGGTCATTTACCATTGAGTTCTATGGGATTTGACGCGTTCGGGTGTAAATATTTTGTAATTACGTCGCAAATATACATATAAATGTATATATTTTCTTTTTCTACAACACTTCAGAGTCCTAAGTATGTGAAAACAACATATTTTTAAACAACATTTCATTCTGAACGGAATTAAATGCTATACTTTTCACAGGACAGTTTTCTCAGAATGGTTTAATTTGAATGAAATTTTCACAAGTTTTCGTTAATTACATTAGAAAAAAAAAAATTAAGGTAATTCGGTTTTTATTCGGTTAAGGTACAAAAAATTAAGATCAAAGTTTATTGTATTATTAATATTAAAATTATGCATTATTTTCTTTCTATTTATAGAGCTTCTTCCTAAAATACTTTCTTAAATATGACATGATTTTTTGGCTTCTTTTAAATCGAAAAATGTAAGTCAATTTATAATTAATGCTCTATTCGGTTCATTTTAAATTAGAGAATTATTAGGAATTAAATAGTATTTGACTTTCTCTGAACATTTCTGAAAGGGAATAAAATAAGTTTTTTTTTTTTTTTTTTTTTTTTTTTTTTTTAAGTATTATTTAAAACTTGTAACTGAGTTATTATAAAATGTAAAGTGAATAATTCTTTTAATTATACTTATCAGATTTTTTTTTTTTTTACCCTTCATTTCAACAATACATATTCCAAAACTCTTTATTACGTTCTTAAGTGCGCATCTCATATCATTTGCTTTACAATACCTTTTAACAGATTGCTTTCCAATACGAACAATTCTTGCTTAAATAGTCAACAGGATAGTCAACAGAATATTTGTCAACAGGATTTCAATTTATGTTTACAATTCAATATTAAGGTTATTATATATTTAGATAACATTTATAATCATTATAAATTAGATACATTTAATCATTAGATTTCTTCACAGTACTTTCACAGTTGTTTATAAGTGAATAAATTCTTCATTTCAAATACATTTATAAATAATTTAATGAATATTTAAGTATTTTGTCAAAGGCAGATACATGCTTTTTGCAAGCACATGCATAAATACCCATACATATTTCCTATTTATCATTTCCGGCATGTGCAAATCTTTAATTTCTGTGCATTCACTATATTTTTCGTGTAAAGTAATTTACACTAATTTAGCATAGACCCGAAAGTTTTACATAAAAAATATATATGAATATAATTTGAGTGAAAATTAAAAGTATTATTTTTAATACCCACTCAAAGGTCAGTTTTTCTTCAAAATTCCTCCACAATGGCATCTCTCTCTTTAGGCAGATAGCCCTTGCATGCGTTACTCTATTTAATAAAAAACTTAATCTGACCTATGTGCCTAATTACAAATATTTTAACATACATAATTTTATATTTACATTTAGCCATCAAGTTTCAAACTTTTCAAATCTTCTAGAAAATAAATTTTGGCAGATCTCTTTTAGCAATTTTCTTAAAATCTATATTTTTGTAGTGCAACAGCTTAGAATTTTATAAAACAAATTCATAATCAAAATCGCTGTTGTTAGTTATCGAAAAATAACCAAGATGTGATTTTTGCGTAAATGTCAGTAAACTATACAAATTGCTATTATCCATTACACTATGAATGTTTCTTTCATGCGAGAGTGTCCCTTTTTCGATTTCTATGGAACTGTCGTGTGTCGAAATACTATCAGAATCTTGTCAAGCGAGCTTCTGAATGTAAACAAACAACACCCCGTCTGGTGACCCAAGCTTCAAAGCAGTGCTTCACTTCTAGCGCGGAATGGCCCCTCCTCCCTTTCTTACCTCCATGAGTCGAAAGCGGGGGTAAACATTGGTACAGAGCCTATCAGTTCATTGTTATTGCCCAAGGTGCTTCTGTCCAGTACCTCCTACATACATGTATGTAGGAGGTATTGTTCTCTCTAGCCAGCAAGTGTGTAAAAGTGATATGCAGAAATCTCAGTTAATCCGAAATAAAATCGTATTTACGGCACACCCCAGACTTTGTAACGAGTAATTTTCTTTCTCTTTTTTTAATATTTTTATTTTAACGGACGTACATAATCCAAAATGATATAATATCTAGTCCATAGGTCTAGATATTATATCATTCCACATACTGTAAGTCAGTGGGAAATCAATTACGTACTAGACTTCATTTTACACAAAAATAAGTTTATGAAAGCAATTATGCAACAAAAATATTAGATCCCGATTTTTAAAATCGTAAATATTAGACCACGAATAGAATATTTAAAATTTCGAATAATAAATTAAGAATAATAATTAAGAATAATTTTTCTCTAAAAATAGATCATTAGCTAATGATCCATTTGTAGAGAAAAATTACTGTATGCTAGCATACAGTTTGCGCGTTATTAGATATATTTTTACTACATTGCACATGTAGAACATGTAGAAACTTTTAAAATGCTGAAGGGATTAATGGAAAAGTTTTTAGAATAGTGTGAAAAAAGTGAAATAATGTGAAAGATCAACATGAAACAGAAAATGCTAATGGCTGCGTTCAAGTTGATTCCAGAACTTAAGACTATGAAAAGTGAATAACAGGTTTATCCATCCAACTAATTAAAATATTTTAAGGACATTATTATAAAAAAATATACTTATTTAATATTTTTCATAAACTGGTTATGAATTTGAAATATATGCTTTACTTACGTTTTTAACTTAATCACGTAACCGCATCAACTGCGCACTGCAAGTTATGTCTATGGGCGCTGTGGTAAAGAAAAAGTACACAAAGACTACCATAAACAGAAAATATTTCGAAACCTTTGGCAATCGGTTATATCCATTTTATAAAATCTTGAAAATTAGGTTTTTAACTAAAACGCACCAGGTACAAAGAATTGCTATAAAGATATGTGGAATAGAATTTCATCGATTAGATCTATTCATGAAATCTTATTGCAGTGATATTCGTAAAAGAAATACGGAACTATCCTTGTACTAAAAAGCCCTTCCTTCTTTAATTGAAAAAATTTTAGCAACACGGACTTAATTTTTAAAACTGGAAGTACCAGAGTCCTACGGAAGTCTAACAGAAAAAAAAAATAAATAAATGGTAAAATAAAATAATATAAAATAAATAATAAAATAAAATAAAATAAAAAAAATAATAATAAATTAAAAATGAAATAATCTAAAATAACTAATAAAATAAAATAATTAAATTAAAATCAAAATTTAATAAAATGTTGAAAGGTTACTATTATTATTTTAATTAACCAGTCATTAGGATTTAAATCCTTACTGTCGCTTCTTTCCATCTCCCTAGAAGAATGCAAATTTAGTTGGAAAGTGTTCAAGTAGAGTTTTTGGAATTGTAAGACGGAACGTGTTTCTGCCTCTCGACACCACGTTACTAGGTTTCGCTATGTCTGATAAGATCATAATTATTTTGCGTTGCGTTATAGTTGTCGGATTTAAATTCTTACGCTGGTGAAACATTTTGAGCCAACTTCATGTTAAATCAATTTGTGTAGTCTTTGGCTGTTAGTTTAACTTGAAATTGACTGTTACTTTAAGTTACCTCGCCACAAGTGGTGGCTGACTTTGTCAAGTTTAAGAAGTGTAAAGGAGTTTGTTTAAGGTATCCGACCTCGTTCGGGTACCGTTTTTTTAAAAATGGTTTTTATTTTAACTATAAACATATTAATTTGAAGATAAGCATATTAATGAGTGAAAACAATTTAAAATGTATTGATAAGTAATTTTAATTTTGAAAAATAATGAAAAAAAGGATAATTTTTTGTTTAAATTTTGC